CACACAGACACACACAGACACAGACACACACAGACACACACGGACACACAGACACACACAGACACACACACATACACACAGACACTCACACATACACACAGACACACACAGACACTCACACATACACACAGACACACACAGACACAGACACACACGGACACACACAGACACACACGGACACACACAGACACACACAGACACACACAGACACACAGACACACACAGACACAGACACACACAGACACACACGGACACACACACGCTCGAAAATGGCAACGCGTATAGCCTTGAGAAAATAGCTTTCTCCTCATCCGATCATAGTTGCTCACGATCAGCAAAATAAATATTTTTCTGCATTTATTGGTTTCATTGGATCGATTGATGTATAGAAATTGTTCGTGTTCTTGATATTATGTCAATGTATTTTTTACCTGCATGCGAATTAACTCATAAACTTCGTTTCTACTCATTGTTGCGTATCTTTGTTTCTCCGTTCAATGAGAACGTTTTTAATGTCAATTGATCGTTTAATCCACTCAGTTCGGTTATGCAGGAAGAAACTTTGCAGTTTTCCATTTGCGATTTCTTATTCCATCAAAAGGGATGCCATCTGCATGTGAATATCCAGACCTGAATATCGCTGAAGATGCGGTTTTGCGTAACTCGACGGCTGTACCCGAAGGGAGTTTAGAGGTTAATGGATGTGATTTCAGTAAGGGAACCAATTATGATCACTTGATTGATTCTTATCGAACCACTGGACTACATGTGAATTCTATGGGAAACGCTGTCAGGGTGAATGCGGTTGTGGTGCCCCTGCGATATTCAGTCAATCTTTCAATGACACTGTGTTCGACTGCGATAATTAAGCTGCGAAAACTGCGATAATTAGGCTCAAAAATTGCTATTTGGTCCAAAAATTTCTTGAAAATCCAAAATATCTTATCAAGGAGTCGTGATTTGTTTTCATTTAATCCGTCGCATTTCTCATTTATTGAACGGTGCGATATTTTTGTTCCTTCGTTGAGATGCACGACGTCTCATTGCAGATCATGAATGAAATGATCAAGGCAACAGAGGGTTAACTTATGGGCGATGAGACTTTCCCGGATCCAGTAGTTAAGAAGAAGCCAGCTTGTACTCTATTTCTGACCTATACCAGTAATATGGCCAATTCAGCTCTTAGAGAGGTTATTATAATAACCACTATTGTCATTATTACTCTGTATTTTTCACAATAACATTCATTACCATACTTAAATTCATCATATTGTTTACTTTCAGACAATTCGGTGTCTAGTTGAGCATGGAATGGTTGACTGTTTAGTGCGGGTGGTGTAAACGAGGACTTGATCTAGTGTCTTGCACCTTCCTATATCGGTGCATTGGACCTGTTTGCTCTAAAAAAATATTTCTTAAGTTATGAGTACGTAAATCAAAACTCCGACGGTGATTTTCGACGCTCTACAAACTGATTTTGGAGTAATCATACAGTGAAATCACATCGTTCAGGCGTGATCATTCTGAGTGACAGTTTTATGAAGTAACACATTATGAATGCGAATTTGATGCGAAATGGCTCGGATTTTACCGTTTATATTAATACGCGACAGGTGTACTTATTTATTATGTTGATTTCTTGTTGAGCACTTTTCATAAGGAGGTTTCATCAATTTGTGGAATTAATTTAGGAATTTGATGGTAACGATTCAGGTGCTCGACCAGATATGGCTGTTACTTGGGGTAAAATTCGAGGTGATGCGAAGTCAGTTGAAGTGTTTTCGGAAGCCTCGCTTGTGTTCTCGCTGATTGCAGCGAAAGCATTCGCGGGACACGTCACCGAAACGACTGAAATAACCGTGGCAGTAAATTCGATAGAAAACTGTCTGACTGAGCCGGGATAATTGCCTTGATTGAACCACTGAAACATTTCATTTGTTCGATTTCACTTAGAAATCTAATGTTTTGTATCCACACTGGTTGTGACGTATCCATTGGTTTTTGTTCCAAGGAACGTCAATGTAGAGCGCAAATTTGATTCTTATTATTAATCAGTCTTGGAGAAATATCTTCAGATTAGAGAAAGCGAGTTTAAGTTGGAGGTTGAGAATCTGTGTCTTTTAGAGAAAAACGTGAAAAATATATTTCTAGTTTTTTCGTTTTGTTCGTCACCACTGATGCAAATATTCGGATTTTTAAATGGTTCTTATGTTGTTGTTGTTTTAATCGGTGTTATTTGTGTTGTTGTGATCAATTGTCTGTTTATCACATTTCCATACAAAATTTGTCACGCATTGATGAAGTTTCATTCAATTTTTTGACGCGTGTATACAGCATTGAATCATTGCACAGGGAAAAAATACAATTTTTTTCTTCTCCTGAAGTTTTCTTATTCTTCATGTTTCAATGTGAAAAAAACGACGAAGGAAGTCAAGAAAAAAGATATTTCACCAACCGAAAACATAAAATTGCCAGCATTTCAAATTGACAAATGCAACATTGTAACCAATTACAGTACACAAAGAATCGTATTGAGATTTTTGAATTTCGAATCGAATATTGAGCTGTAAATGTTTACAAAATGTTGCAGTCCAATATTTTTTGAATTCTACTCATTTCTCAGAACGATTTCTGCTCCACTGTATTGGTATTGTGTCCCGCAATTGCTACTTTTTCTGGGACGTTTCCAAACCTTTTCCTCATTTTTCGTACCACTTTGCAATGAGGTTGCAGGCAAACGAAAAAAGAGCATTCTGTTTGTGAATATTTCATGGAAACACTTTTCATTGCGCGAAGTAACACCTCAAATGATTGAATCTGCACAAGAAGGTGATGGTTCGGTCGAACTAACTTTGAAAGATTTTTCTAACGCAAGAATAGTTGTTGAGATGTTAGCTGTGACGGCGGAATAATGGTTTCTTGTCTCAATAATCCAAGAAGATATTGCTGGAGGTGAATATTGCAAGCAAAATAAAGAATGTTTTATGGTAACCATTATGTATTTAGTGAGTTATAATCTCAAAAACTACGTGATGAATTTTCTTGAAACTTTTTCAGTTCCCAGGGATGGATCCATGACTTTTGCATGCATTCATGACTTTTCTGTGTTATTATTGATTGAAATGATTCGTCGTCACTCGAACTTGTTTCGCTAAGCTTTGCTTTTTTCATCGCCTGTTGCTTTCAGAATCGATTGGAACTGTGTGCTGAAAGCTGTTGATTTTGGTACTGGAGAAGTGTCTTGTCATTATATTAAACTGTTTTTGTCATGACGCCTCAGCATGCTGAATGTATTCACTGAAATGTTCATTTGAGTATGGTAATTGTTTGAACTAGATGTTATCAATGAAAGCTTCAGTAACAAATGATTGAAAATGGATGAAATTTATACGTTGGCAGAAAAGCACCTAGCGGATCGTGATTTGCCGAGTGATGATGAATCTCTACTCGCATATAATGGTCCAGCTGTAGAAGTGACAAATGCAGTTGCACTACTGTTAAAGAAACGTTTCACAATACGATCTGCATTCACTGCATACCGACGCATGCGCAGTCTTCAAATTGCTGACGAATATAAGGGGGAAAATTTGGATCGAGCCAATTTCAGCTATGCCATATCGTCCTTGCATAACAAAGTGGAAAGTATCCTACAAGAGCAAAACGATGACTTTGGTCGGTTTCAAATTGACCTTGAATGTACTGCGATGATTTCTTAGTTTGATTATTCGGAATCTGTCAATTTTTTTAAGTGAAGAAGAATTTGAAGTTTTGATCCTGAATCACATTTTTCGAACCATCTAAACAAATTCAGCCCACTTTGACTGTAGGTGATTGCCCAAGTGCAATGTTCATTCGGCAGTTAACAACCATCTCTATCACTGATGCCCTGATCGCTTCTGATCATCTATAGTCATTGATCTCATAGATAAATTGGAACACTAATATAAGAATGAGAATTTTACTTCAATATTTCTCCAGTGCTGTGCATTATATATATGTATATATATATATA